AAAAAGGAAATGTCGAATATTTTATGAAATTTATGATGTGCCTACTTTCAATTTATATGTGTGAAGCAGTCGGAGGGTTAATGGTTGCAAAATTTACGAAAAATAAAGAAAATTATGTACAAYCGCATTACCTTCATTTTTGTTAAATTATAAGTGCTAACAGCTGCTGGCTATCAGGATCTATAAATATGCGGAAATTGCTAAGTTACTCTCCCAAAGAGCGAAACAGCCAAGAAGTAAATAAACGCAAAATCACACCACTTCCACACGTTTGAATGGAATGTTTAATTTCTCAATTATTAACCATTAAAACGAACAAAATTGAAGCAAATGCTTTAAATATCGATTTTCAGTACATTGGCGCGGAAACTAATACATATGTACACACTGTGCAACTAATAAGGGTTTTGTGTAAGGTATGAACGATCGCAAACAAACAAGACTTTCGGTTAGAATTTGTCAATTGGCCCTTAAGGAACTCATAGAAACAGAACAGAAATCTCTGGTTGGGTAATTAACCGGTTATTTAACTGACAGATGGTTTGCAAGATTGTTTACATRTTTATATATTTAACAGATGTATCCTCATATGGCGATAGTTATTCTGCTAGCAAAAACTGCTACATAGTTCTCTCTGCGTTTTACGCTCTCAATTTGTACTCTCTGCTGTTAGTTTTACGGGTTACGAAACGCTTTTTCAAGTTGGCTAGCTAGTGATAGTTAACAGTTATTAGTTTTAATTCCCAGCTCTTCCGAAAATCCCTCAAAACGGCAAAATAAGTTCATAGTAAGTAGTTGACAGATTAACGCATTTCAATAGGAACATTAGGGCAATATTAATTGCTTGAAAGATAATCTCACATTCGTATGTGCTGATAGATTAATAGATGATTGAGATTATTTCATGAGCTAATCTGTTTGTTCCATAGCAAAATAGTGCTTCAGCGAAGTTAGAATGTTTTTTAAGGGGTTGCCACTCGACTGAAAAACAAAATTTACTGCAGTTTATACATAGCTTAGGGATGCTAACATCCATGCGACATTCCTAAGAAAGTTAAGATTAAAAAAAATTAAACCAGTGTTGCCACCATTTCGAAAATAACAAATTAAAAAAAATATATTAAAAAAACAACAGCTGATATTTATGAAAGCTTTGAGCTGACAAAGTTTTGCGACAGATTTTTTACCCATTTCATTTATTACCCGGTTAGAACGATTTAGTCAGAAAGAAGAGGTTTAAAAATTGTTGCATACTACACATCAACAGAGTCTAAAAACAGATATTCTCATAAAAGGAGCGAGAGAACAAATCGACATTTATCAGTGCTAAAGAGGGTAACATTTCTTTAAGGATATTTCTGAAGCTTTTATTTGTAAAGAGAATTCTAAAGTTATTATCACAATATGCCTTGAAACTGTTGATAAAATGTTAATCACAAATAAATATTACAATGAGATTAACCCGGTCGAGACTTGTGGAAGAAGGGTAACGACAAATGTAAAATTTTGGAGCTTATATGCAGTGCTTTATATAGATCTAATACAGTCATTTTATACATTTTAGGGGTCCGTAGATCTTAATTTAACATGGTATGTTATATGGAAAAGTTAGTAACAGAGATTGAAATGTGGCAACTTTAGTATGAAGCTGCTCGAGTTCGGATAAATGAGTGTATAATTATTCTAATGAAAGCCTTATTGAGATCTTTTATAAATTAAATTATTCGAGCCATAAATAAGTGGAACTATGCTGGGGTTAAAAATATGCTGACCAAAAATATAAATTATTAAATAAATTATTCTGGATACTTTTAGTAGYAATCAGAAAAATTGCGTTGTCACGTGCTCTCATTGTTGCTTTTCCAACTGATTGCTTCATTTTCTTTCTCCCTTTTTGATTACATTCGAATTGTGCCTTCATTTTCTTTCGCTTCCGCTTGTTAGCCATTGATTACCGGTTGACTACCTTGTTTATCGACAGCTGAAAGCTTTGCATTCTAACTCAGCATTTATCAATCAAATTTGTGCTTATTGTGATTGACTGYTCACATATTTTTGATGGCCACATTTCTGAAGCATGTAAATACGGTATGCCCGTCTCAGAGTGGGAAGTATTGTCTTTCTAAATTATAATCTGAATTGTGTCGTTGTTCATTTTATTATGTATATTTTACACTGGCGTACAATGTTAGAGGGGAAGATTTTTCTTTTTAGTTAGATTGAAAGTCATATGAGGTGGGAGGTAGAGAGACAGAAGACCAACCTTCATCAGAAATGTTATGCTTTGTTTACAGGCATGAGAGAAAGTCAGAAATATTGGGGTTCTGACTTAAAAACTTGTTTGTACTAAGATGTAAATCTGTATTGGGCTGAAGAGCTTTTTGAAAAAAAATGTTATCATTAGGGATATCCAAAAAAGTTATCCATATACAAAACACACAAACCAATTGAAAATTTAGAAATTCGAGAATATAGTATATTATTAAATCATTGAAGATTTTTCAGTTAGCTTTTATGTTTGGCAATTTTTTTCAATACACTTTTCAAAGATGTGGCAACCCTTTTCAAAATTCTCTCGAATAGAAACACTTTTTAAATTTATTTTCCATGATGCCGCAGTGCAATATTTCATTCAACTAATGAAAATAAAAWTGAAACAGGTGGCAACGCTCTTAAATTTACTATTGAAATTTTGAGCTCTCTGGACTTTTTTTAACATTTCAAAAAATTAATAAAGTTAAAATTAATTAATTAAAAACTTTTGCAGGTGGCAACATTCTAATTTTTTTAATTATCTGAATAATGCGCAGAAAAAAACTGCTAGTCAAACCGAATCAGTTTTTAGTATTATGGTGGAGCTCAACGTCCTTAATGAAATTGGGTTGCGCCATACTTTTCGTGGACCTGTTTTTGAAATCGCCATTTCTTCTTGTTTTCACTCGCTTCATTGGTCTTTTAGCAAAATGAAATGCAAGCCAAGGAGCCATTTTGGCTGCCTAGGCTTGCACCCCTCATCGACATAAACTAGGCCTGCACCCTATATATATTTATTTGCCATATTCGATCATATTTATTTTGCTGTTTCCGCTTTGTTTCTTTTTCGTTTCGTATTTAAATTTACTTAAGCACCGCCACCACACCCCAAAGACTTACCTCAGCTCAGCTCCGAGGCGATGGGCAATCAGCATTCCGAGTAACCAGTGCTCAGAGGAGCCATGACAGCAATCAAGGCTGCTTCTGTATGATGTTCGGGAAATATGTATATATTAAGCATGTGTGTGTTTGTAAGTCTTTGGTCGTCTTCAATGATATTTTCCCAGACGTCAGCTTGTTAGGCGCCTTCTGCGTGCGCCAAAGCTGCTTTACCATTGAAATGCGTCGGCAAGCGGCAACAATACTACAGAGATAATGCAGATTGTGGTCCTGTCGCGGACTGAGGAGTTGCTGCTGTGGCAGAGTCCATGTGCCGGCATTAGCGTTAAGCTATTGGACCGACCGATGGACGGCAATGGCTTAGAGGAGTAATTGGAGGAGAAGGACAAATGGCAGTCCAAGACCAAACGGCGGATGAGCCTGCAATTGGTAATCCAGCCTACGCCAAGCTGCTGCTACAGCTAGTTGGTTGCTGCCAYATTCTTGGTGGCGCTGTTGATTCTCTGCTCTTGATGAGTTTGTTGCCAGCTGCCACCGACAAGCGTATATTAACCGAAAACATCAAGAAGCTGCTGCCACCGGACAGTCGCAATAATACTGGACTGACAGTGTCGCCAGCAGCTCAGGTCACACCAACAATAACAGCAATGGCCGGCCTTCAGCAGCTTCAATAAAATGTTTGTGTGTGTGATCGTTTGAATGCTTCTGTGTGTGCGTGTGTGTGAAAACAATGGTACGTGTGTTTGTGTGCGCGCGTGTCAGTTTCCATATACTTTTAGTAAGATGAGTGCGCCATTAGAATAATGCAATAAGAAACGTAAACGCCAAAGYAAACAAAACAAAACTAACAACAATAACAACTATCACAAAAGAGCAGTGCTGAAGACATTGCGAAGGATACCCAAAGGACGTGCAGAATATCGGCTATGCCTGCTGTTTRTACAATCGCTAAAGCTTTAGCTCATGTTGTTGTTGTTGCTGCCGCTGCTGATTTTGTTGTTGTTGCGCTTCCTGCCTCGTGCTCTGCTGTTGCTGCAACGGACATACTCCAGCTAAGTAGGTTACCAGCAACGTTGTTGTTGTTGTTATTGTTGCTATTATTGCCATTGTTGCTTCTGTTGTTCGCGTTATTACATTCGCCCTAGTCATTAGTGTTTCTATTATTATTGTTGTTATTGCTGCTAGTAACAGCAACGGCAGWCGCGCTTCCGAGCTTATTCTTGTTGTTGTAGTTGTAGTTGTTATGCGCATCGAACTGGCGCTGCTTTTTTGCATGGCCGCCGGATTTTCATCTGTAATTGAAGAGGGAACAGCAAACGTAAGTAAATAAATAAATAAATAAAAAAGAAATACATTCACACTTATATATACACAGATGAAACTGTATATATGTACATATATCTGCGTATATACATATATATTAATAGCGGATAATGAAATGAATAGTCAGCAGGCGAATAAATAACATAATAGAATGTAAATGTTGCGCGTAAAATGGACACGCAGACAGATGGACGGACGAATAAATAGACTAAAGAGGATGAAGCGGCTACCACAAATAAGCAAACAATTTAAAAAATTGAAGAGTGCCATTGTAGCACTTTGTGTGTGTGAGAGAGGCGTAGAAAGACAGCTGGTGGTTCAGCAATTGTAGGCTGGGAGTTTTCTAAATGGCGGCAATAATTTGTGAACGATGCAAATTTCCATGTTTTTCAATAAGTAGATGGTACCGAACATGATAGGCAAATATTTAAGACGGTGAAAATTGAAAGTAGGCATTGAAATTTTTTTTTTTTTTGTAAAGTAATGTGCCAACGGATATCTAGTTTGGCTAATTTTTGGCACAAAATTAGCTTCAGCTATGCTACCTCACCAGTATACCGATATATTTTACTAGAGATGTCTAATCTTATACTAGAATTTGTGCGAGGTGCTTTATTATTTTTCCTCAAAGCCAGGAACTAATACACTTTGAGTCACCCCCCAACATTTGTTCATACATATATGTAAGCGCCCTAAAGACTGTCTCTTTTTTAATATAATAAATGATAATACCACTTAAGTTGTTAATAAATCCCCTCAGATCCGTAACTGAAAGTGCTAAATTTGAAGCGACGAGGCTTGATAGAAAAACGCGACAATTTCTGCGTGACAACTTACGAAGAATACTACAGGGTCTCAGTATACATTCCTCTGTTGGATACACTCGGCGAAGATTTGAAGACGCGCTTTTCTAGATAAGTATTGGATGGATTTCAACTGAGTTTACTGCTTCCAGAAAAAGTATGTGCTCTGAAAACCCAAAAAATTGGAAACTCTTATTGGCTGCTTAATAGTTAGATTCAAAGGCCTTTTAGATAGTGACAACGTAAAGTGACGACTAAAGCTCAAAGGTGAACTTCTTCACTGGCAGTGCCATTGGGGGCAGAATCAAAAGACAACAAGGTCCGCTTGCGATGTAGACCTATATAATACACGAAACTGACGGCATTGCAATAAAGCGTGTCACCCGGACGTCTATGATTTATAAAGTGTCTCAATTTGGAATGATTTGATATAAGAAGGTCGATTTGAAATTTTTTCCCATAATATTAAACTGTATAAAGACTACTATATTTAATATAATAATGTTCATGTTTCAAGTAAATGGGGGCTCGGCCAAATATTCGCTCAATTTTATCTATTTGCGGTACAATGGTACATTGTTATGAGCAAAACACGTTCTTCTTGAAGTAGCTCAAATATTGACCGATATGGGTAGGTAGGAGTTTGGTAAYTGCATCAGCAAAATATATTTATCTTCGGAAACAATTTGAATTTAAAAAAATAAAAAATCTTCATAAAAAATAATATTTTTATTTTTTAGACTAGAATACCTCATTTTAATAAGAGAAAACACGTGAAAATATTATAAAACAAAAATGGAACAAAGAAAAAAAAAAAAAATAAACACTGATACATACGAATTGATGACAAAAGTTAATGGTTATAATTGCATAACGGTATACACGAATTTAAAATGTTGAAGAGGATTTATATGACGACCAGGTTATGTAGACTAGCGTCTGGTGCTGAATTGGTGGAAAAACTAGTAAAAGAAAGGTCTGTTTCACATAAATTTTTTGTTTTTTGATAAAAAAAAAAAACGGCTTTCTCTCATCAACAACCTTACGCCTTCGTCTGATCCATTATTATGTGCCTATTTTCTTTCTCCATAATTCTAAACCAATAGGCAAGGAGTATTTTATAATGATATCTTAGCTATTTAAGCAAACTTAGCTGCGGTGCTGGAAAGTTCAATATAAAAACATAAAAGAATTTATACTTGCACACTTTGATCAGTACAAACGTTGTATGGAGTCTAATGGAACCTACTTTGAATAAATAAATATTAACAAAAAGTTCATAATTTTTTAGTACAAATCTCGTATATTACTTTAACTGTTTGTAACTTTTAAACAAATAATTTTATAGAACAAACCGAAGAGACAAGATGTACTTTTTCGCTTTGCAAAGTCGTGAGMCCATTTTATAACGCGATAAAAATTTTATACAAACACAAAAAACCTRTGTTAAATGTATGGTGAAATAAAAAAACTTCCAATTTGCTGTGACATATGGTAATTTTACGTTGATCTATGACATTAATTCGCGTCTTTTGCTTTAATAATTGACATCTCGAGGATATTTGACGCGCAAAACAACAACAAATGGATTACTGATTTATATGCGCTCATATTCAATTATTATCACTTACACGAATCTGATGCTTATGACAGTCATATAGCTAGTGAATAGGAAGAAATAAGACCACCGACACAAATACATACATATAGACATTAGTGTGCGAAAAAAAATTGTTTTCCTACTCCGACAAACTGGTTAGGGAACACCTTAAAAAATGCTCTCCGAGTGTGAGCGTTTAATACTAATAGGGAGATCATCCAATTTTCAGTTTGCTA